AGAGAAAAGGCCCCCAGGAGGCCGCAAGACGGCCCAAGAGGGCCCCAAGAGGCCCCTAGGAGGCCGCAAGACAGCCAACGAGGCCCCAATAGGTCCCCAGGAGCTCGAAAAGAACCCCCGAGAGGCCCACTAACCGTTCCCAAGGAGACGGCATCGCCCGCCATCAGGCTTCGAAGAGGCAACCGGAAAAAAATCACCAGAGCCCTCCAGGTGACTTTTTTCGAGGCCCCAGGTGCTTTCAAAATTGACAAGCGGCGAGACGTACACCGCAGACCCACCATAGCCGTCTGTGACGCTCCGAAGGCTGTCTAGGCGGAGGTAGAGCGGAAGACGGACGAAGAGAAGGAAGCGGTCCAAGAGGGCCTCCGAGACGGCCCAAGACAGCTCGAAGACGCTCCAGACGAGCCGCGGCAAACGAAATCATTGATTCTTTCTATGGTTTCTGCCAGATTTCCACCTTCTCGCCATCTCGAGCGAAGACAGGCCCAAGACGGCCTTTGCGAGCCAAGACTGGCCCAAGATGACGTGGACGAAATCCACGGGTTCGCCCTAGTCTCTTCTCTATGGCAGACGGAAGCGCGTGCGAAAAGGTCGTGCACTTTGCCCTCCCTGGAGGGCCATTTTTCGACACCCCTCACGCAGATCCTAGCTCCCGAGCGTCACAAATCGAGCCCTCCCCCCAAAGACGCGCCGAAGTGGCCATCAGAGACTCCAAGGAGCGTCCAAGAGGCCCCCTAGAGGCCCCCAACAAGGCCCACGAGGTCCCCTAGAGGACCCCACCAAGGCTCTGGAGGCCTCCAAGAGCCAACAACAGTCCTCCGAAGCATATCCCCAGAGGCTCAAATCCTGAATTGTTCTATGGTTTTTGAAGGAGCTTTGCCTGCTCACCTTCTCGGCTAGCCGACGCTCCAAGCCGGCCGAAGAGACCCACAAGACCGCCCCAGGACGGCCCAACAGGCCTCCAAGCGCGTCCCCAGACGGCCCAGGGAGCCCCAAGATGGCCCAAGAGGCGCCCGAGACGGCCCCGGAGGACCCCAAGCCAGGCCCAAGAGGGGACCAAGGAACGGGGAAAAACCCTGACACTCCGAGCCCTGGGCCTCCATACGCCCACACAAGGCCCCAAGACCCTCCAAGAGGCCTCCAAGAGCCTCCAACAGTACTCCGAAGCATGCCCCCAGAGGCCAAAATCCTTAATTTGTCACCGGTGTTTGATGGAGTTGTGCCCGCTCACCTTCTCGGCTAGCCGACGCTCCACCTTCTCGCCTTCTCGGCTAGTCGACGCTCCAAGACGGCCGAAGAGACCCACAAGACCGCCCCAGGACGGCCCAACAGGCTTCCGAACGCGTCCCCAGACGGCCCAGGGAGCCCCAAGATGGCCCAAGAGGCGCCCAAGCCGGCCCCAGCCCAAGTCAGGACCCCCAGGAGGGACCAAAGAGGCGCAAATTGCCCCATTCGCATAGCAAAACGTGCATTTTTGATATGCTCGCTCTTTTCGTCTTCACCGCGTCCAAGACGGCAATACAGGCTTTCCCGGTCGTCCAAAGACGCCCCCAGAGCACCCCAGGAGGGCCCCCAAACGGCTATACAGGCCCTCCACCTCGCCCCAAGACGCGCCCAGAGGCCCCCCCCAAAGGGCCCAACACGGCCCCGACGGCCCAGGACGCACCCAAGACAGCCCCAACAACGCCAAGAATGGCCAACGGGACGGCTCCGAGAGGCTCCAGGGGGCGCCAAGACGGCCTCAGAGCACCCTTGGGAGCCCCAAGGCAGCCCCAGAGGCCCCCAAGGCAGGCCAGGAGGCTCCCAAGACGGCCCAGGAGGGCCCCCAGGAGAGCCCCAAGAGGCCCAAATCATTCCCGACGGGAAAGGCACATTTTCGCTATGTTCCGTTTCTTCGTCCTCGCAGCGTCCAAGACGGCCACAGAGGCCCTCCACCTCGCCCCAAGACGCGCCCAGAGGGCCCCAAAGGGCCCCACACGGCCCCGGGACGGCTCCAGAGGCGCCCGAGACGGCCCAGGACGCGCCCAAGACAGCTCCAAGAGCAGCCAAGAATGGCCAACGGGACGGATCCGAGAGGCTCCAGAGGGCGGCAAGACGGCCTCAGAGCACCCTTGGCAGCCCCACGACAGCCCCAGAGGCCCCCAAGGGAGGCCAGGAGGCTCCCAAGACGGCCCAGGAGGGCCCCCAGGAGAGCCCCAAGAGGCCCAAACCGTCCCATTCCCGACGGGAAGCGCACATGTTCAATACATATATTTATATATCTGTGTATATATATATATATATATATATGTATCTTGCTTTTTCGTCCTCGCAGCGTCCAGAAGGCTATACAGGCCCCCCAGCTCGCTCCAAGACGCGCCCAGACGCCCCCATGAGGGCGCCCAAAGGGCCACACACTGCCCCGGGACGGCTCCAGAGGCGCCCGAGACGGCCCAAGACGCACCCAAGACAGCCTCAAGAGTAGTTAATAATGGCCCAAGACGGCTCCACCGCCCCGTCTCCAAGACGGCTGTAGAGGCCCCTGCCGCCCCGTCTTCAAGCCTTTCCGTTTGGACAGTCTCCAAGACGGTCTTTGGGCCGTCCGGGACGGCTCCAGAGGCGCCCGAGACGGCTCAAGAAACACCAAAGACAGCCCCAGTAGCGCCCAAAATTGGCCCAAGATGGCCCCAAGATTGTCCCAAGATGGTCCGAGATGCGCCCAAGACGGCCCCACGTCGCCCCAAGACGGCCCAAGATGCACTCAAGACTGCCAAAGAGGGCTCCGAGAGACTCACCCCCAGGAGGACGAAAAGAGGCCCTCAAGCGGCCCCCGAGAGGCCTTAGGGAGCGTCGAACTTCCACCATCGTTTTGGAGGCTTCTTGGACCCTCTGGGAGCCATCTCTGCGCTATTTGGGGACGTCTTGGGGAGGTGCGCTCGAAAAGTCGATTCGTGTCCTCGCACTGGGGCCCTTCTTAGGGAGTTACGTCTCGCCGCCCTCTCGCGGGCCTCCTAGGCCGCGCCCACTGGCCCCAATGTCACCACACTGCCAGATAAGATTGTCATTCGGCCTCGGCGAAGAGCAGATAAACTTGTCACGGCTACCTTCCCCGCAGGAGCTATGATGAACACAGACTGCGGCGTAAGAAACAGCTTCTGTCCACACCATGTCATGCCTACATGGGTGTGCTTCCACTGGCACCGCCTCCACCACCGCGTTCCTGCCTTTAGGCCTGCTTGCCTGCATCCCTCGCCCACCCTCCCCTCCAGCGGCCACCTCCTCCATCCTCGCCGTCCCCTCCAACCTCCCCTTACCCGCGAGGCCCCAGAGACGCTCCACTTCCACGTCCACGCCAGGGCGGGCAAATTCCGCGGCCGGAGGCCGCGGGTCAGCCCTAGTCTCTACTACATTGCAGGGCCCAGTGCGTGCCAGAAGGGCGCAGGCCCCATTAACTCATAATCGCCCCGGGCTGGCCCCGGGCCGCCTGGGGCCGCCCCGGGAGGCCCCAAGACGCGCCAAGGAGGCCCCAAGAGGCCCCCAAGACGGCTCCAGAGGGCCCCGGCACGCCCCAAGATGGGCCCAAGACGCTCAAGATTGGCCCAAGACGGCCCAAGAAGCCTCCAAGACGCCCCAAGAGGCTTCCCAAGAGGCCTCCCAAGAGGGCCCCGAGCGGCAGAAACCGTCGATTTCCATTGTGTTTTTCGATGTTTTCGGCCTCGCCTTTTCGGCTTCCCGACGCTCCAAGACGGCCCAAGAGGTCCCCCAGACCGCTCCAAGACGGCCGAAGAGGACCCCAAGAGAGCCCCAAGACGGGCCAGGAGGGCCCCAAGACGGCCCCAAGGCGGCCCAGGACGGCCCCAGGACGGCCCAGGAGGCGCCCAAGACGGCCCAAGAGGCACCCAAGACGGCCCCAGGAGCGGCCGAAGACGGCCCAAGACAGCCCAAGAGGCGCCGAAGCCGGCTTCAGACGGCCCCAAGACGGCCCAAGAGGCACCCAAGACGGCCCGAGAGGGCCCTCAGGCCCCCCGGGAGGCCCAAAAGAAGGCCGAAGAGGCTCCGAAACGGCCCCCCGAAGCCTTCAGGGGCTTCAGAATTCCCTCCAGGAGCGGGGGAGCGGACGAGAGGCGACAGGCATATCGCAGGCAAAAACGCCCCAAGAGATCCCCAAACGGCCCCCACGAAGCCCTACGTGGCCTCAGAATTGCTTCCAGGAGGGGGGGAGCGGACGAGAGGCGACCGGCATATCGAAGGCACAAAAGAACAATGTTGGACGCTCCGAGGGCCTTCGATGTTTCTCTGTTGGGGAGAGTCGTCGTAGGATCGACGATTGCCGACCGAGGGCATGGAGAATCCAGCGAAAGAGGAGAAGAAGGTGGAAGAGGAGGAGGAGGAGGAGGAGGAGGAGGAGGCGGAGGAGGAGGAGGAGGAGGGGGAGGAAGCAGCAGGACCTCCGAGCAGCAGCAGCAGCTGAGGAACACAGGAGAGCAGGAGGTCCTGGAGGGTGTGGAGAGCGCCTTCAACTGGCCACGTCGAGCTGATGTCGTGGACGGAGTCCACAGGTCTGCCCTAGTCTCTACTACATTGCAGGGCCCAGTGCGTGCCAGAAGGGCGCAGGCCCCAATGCACCGAAACCGCCCCGGGCTGGCCCCGGGCCGCCCCAGGCCGCCCAGGCAGGCTCCAGGACATGTCGAGAGGGCCCCCCGAAGCCTCCAAGACGGCCCCGGAGAGCCCCGGCACGCTTAAAGATGGGCCCAAGACGCCCGAGATTCGCCCCAGACGGCCCAAGAAGCCTCCAAGACGCCCGAAGAGGCCTCCCAAGAGGCCTCCCAAGAGGGCCCCGAGCGACAGAAATCGTTGATTTCTGTTGTGTTTTTCGATGTTTTCGGCCTCCTCGCCTCTTCGGCTTCCCGACGCTCCAAGACGGCCCAAGAAGCCCCCCCGACTGCTCCAAGACGGCCGAAGAGGACCCCAAGAGAGCCCCAAGACGGGCCAGGAGGGCCCCAAGACGGCCCCAAGACGCACCAGCACGGCCCCAGGACGGCCCAGGAGGCGCCCAAGACGGCCCAAGAGGCACCCAAGACGGCCCCAGGAGCGGCCCAAGACGGCCCAAGACAGCCCAAGAGGCGCCGAGGCGGGCCTCAGACGGCCCCAAGACGGCCCAAGAGGCACCCAAGACGGCCCGAGAGGGCCCTAAGAGCCCCCCCGGGAGGCCCAAAAGAAGGCCGAAGAGGCTCCGAAACGGCCCCCACGAAGCCTTCAGTGGCTTCAGAATTCCCTCCAGGAGCTGGAGCCCGACGCCATCATGATTGCCTTTCGGCCCTGCAGCCGCACCCCCCCGCGCTTGCCCAGAGACCCCTCGCCACGTCGAGCTGATGTCGTGGACGGAGTCCACAGGTCTGCCCTAGTCAGCTACAGCGCTGGGATCAGCGCGTGCGAGAAGGGCGAGCAGTGGCAGCGGGCGCTGGCGCTCCTCAGCGAGACGGTGGAGGCGAAATTGGAGCCCGACGTTATGTCCCCTACAATCCCAGGGCCAAGGCGTGCGGGAAAGGCGCGCAGCGCCAGTGTGGCAGACGGGCCAGCGGGGCCAGATCACCCCTGGAGGTTCCCAGGACGGCTCCCGAGCGCCCCAGGACGGCCCCAGTTCAGCGGCCCCAACACTATCAATAAGTTTTGCAGGATGCACCACAGGGCCGAAGAGAGGCCCTAGAGACAAGTTGCTTCAAGAGGGCTTTTCTACGACGGCCCAAGTCGGCCCCAAGAACGCCAAAGATGCCCAAGAGGGCCCTGGAGGACCCGACGACGGCCAAGGATAGACTCGAGATGGCCCGAGACGGCCCCAAGAGGTCGTCAAGATGACCCAAGCGGGACCTGCGCGATGCGTAGGGGGCGACACTGGAGCCCGACTGCATCTCTGTTCTGATGCTGTGCGTGCGAGAACACGGCACTGTCGGACTAGGACGTTCGGGCCAGAGCCCGCCAAGGCCTCCCCAAGGACCAGTCCAAGAGGCTCGGGGAGATGCCCAAGGAGGGGCTCAATAGCCCCGGAAGCATCCAGGGCAGCCCCAGAACAACCCTGAGACGGCCCTGTGACAATCCAACAGGTCCCTCGGTGGAGACCCCCCTGGAAAGTGCAGGACAGGCCCGAGTAGCCCAAGAACTCCGATGCGCTCCAGGGTATCTCCAGAATGCCCTGGAGCGCATAAGAAGGTGCGCCCAATACGGCCCAGAAGAACCCTAAGACGGCCTCCCAATCTTTCCAGCCCCAAGACGGCCACTCGCATTCAGATCTGCTATGCTTTTAGCCTCCTCGCCTCTCTGGCCCAAGACAGCTCTAAAGATGATCGTGGCATCAGCTGGGCGTGGGTTTCATCCACTCGGCACCCTATTCATCTACGAAGCTGTCACCAGCGCGTGCGATAAGAGCCAGCGTGGTATGCAGGTGTTGTTGTTGCTCAGCGATCTGAGTGTCTCGATCTGGTAGCTGGGCAGCATCGTCTCCTCTACTTTGCTGGGCAAGTTTGCATGCGAAGCCATCGCTTCAATGATGTGATCGTTTCCGTCATGGTTGGCCTTTTGGGGTCCGATCAGACTTCGCTACTTGTCGGTACGTTGGGGGTTCCGTCGACTGCTCGCCCGGGCGGGCCCAGTCGGACTCCGCCGCCAGTCGGATCGTATTGAGAGCGTCCCAGCGCGCTCCCTCCATCTTGACGTGTCGCGAATAGGTTTCTCTTCTCTGATGAGTCGTTGGGCTATGATTCGCTTTGAGGCCGTGCCGTTCCAGGACCATCAGTGTTCTCTAAGAAGGTGAGCTGTGCCATGTGTGGGCTGCAAAGCCTCACAGTTTTGCTGGGCCGATCTCGCGGCACTCGGTTCAGCCCTAGTCAGCTACAACGCTGGGATCAGCGCGTGCGGGAAAGGCATGCAGTGGCAGAGTGCTCTGTCATTGATCAACGAGATGTGGGAGGCGAAGTTGTTGCCTAACGTTATCAGCTGCAGCGCTGCCATCAGGGCTTGCGATCGAGCAGGGAAAGAGCAACAGGCGATTTGGTGGCTCACCGAGACGAGGGATGCAAAGCTTGAGTCCAACGTCGCTAGCTTCAGTGATACACTCGTTCTTGCAATGTGCAAGCAGATATTGAGCAGATCCCCTGTCAATCCTGGGACCGAAGTGTGCGAGTACAGCAAGTAGCCGCAGCAGGCTTTGTCGCTGTTGAGGGCGATGGGGAACATTGAAGATGCATTGCAACAGCATCAGCTATGACGCTGGGGCCAGCGCGTGCGAGATTTGCAGGTAGCGACAGCAGACTCCGTCGCTGCGCAGAGAGGTGTGTGGGAGGCTGCGAAGTTAGAGCCGACATCATCGGCTACACACCTCGTGAGTCGGGGAGCGCGAGGGCGTTGGCGTTCGGGAAGGTGTGCTTGAGGAAATTCGACCTGGACCCTGCCGGTGGTTTTGGACGTGTGGCCAGGATGTGCGAGCAGGACGGACATGGGAAGCAGGTGACGTCGCTCCAGCCGACCATCAGAGCGTGGGATAAGAGCATGCAGTGGTACATGGCCTCGCTGCTGAGCGAGATGCAGGAGGCGAAGCTGGATCCCAACGTCGTCAGGGCCTCCTCCTTCTCCTCCCCGTCGTCGCCCCCCTCTGCCACATGAGCTCCTGCTGTTGCTGCCGGAGCTGCTGCCTGCCGCTGCTACTGGTGCCGCACTGCTGCTGTTGCTGCTGGAGCTGCTGCTGTTGCTACTGCCCATGCCCCTGGATCTGCTGCCGCTGATACTGCTAGCGCAGTTCTGGACGCCGTCGGACTCATCGAGCAAACAGCGCACCCTAAGCAATCATCAGCAGCTAGCGCACTCCAACCATTGTCACTCGTGGGCGGTAGTCCACGGGTCAGCCCTAGTCTGTATTAGAATGTTGGGACCAGCGCGTGCGAGAAGGGCGAGCAGTGGCACCGGGCGCTGGCGTTGCTGAGCGAGATGTGGGAGGCGAAACTGGAGCCCGACGTCATCTGCACTACAATTCTGGTCGCTGCGCGTGCGAGATGCGCCCGCAGTGCGCCAGCTGCTTCCGACCGAGAATAAGACCGATCCCAACCACCTCGGACGTTCAGGAACCACTTCGGACTGATGACAACCATTCGAAACGGACTGATCGCAACGGGTAGAATTCCGATTGTAATCCTACAAGGCGAACGCCAGACTACAACCAGGGAAGCTTGCTTCAGCTTCCCAGGATTTGAAGGATTCTTGAGGGCTATGGGAAGATATCTTGCGGATTCCTGAAAGATTGTCGACGGATTCCTGAAGGATTCTTGAGGATTCCTGAAGGATTCCTGATGGATTCCTGGAGGATTCTCTGGGATTCGTGAATGACTTCTTGGGGATCCTGGAAGGATTCTTGAGGATTGCTGGATGGTTCTTGAAGGACTCCTCGAAAGGACTCTTGACATATACTTACCATTACTACATTACTATTTCTACAGTATGAGTATTGCTATTATTACTAACATTACTAGCCGTCGTCGTAGTAGTAGTAGTAGTAGTAATAGTAGTAGTAGTAGTAGTAGTAGTAGTAGTAGTAGTAGTAGTAGTAGTAGTGGTGGTGGTAGTAGTAGTATCAGTAGTGGTGGCAATAGTAGTAGTAGTAGTAGTAGTAGTAGTAGTAGCAGTAGTAGTAGTAGTAGTAGTAGTAGCAGTAGCAGTAGTAGTAGTAGTACTACTACTACTACTACTACTACTACGACTACTACTACTACTACTACTACTACTACTACTACTACTACTACTACTACTACTACTACTACTACTACTACTACTACTACTACTAATACTACTCATATTACTACTCATATTACTACTATGTCTACTAGATCCATGTTTCCGCTATTCATTTATTCACTTACTTTGCGGCAGTTTCTGGGGTGTCAGGGCCAATGTAGTCCAAACCTGGCTGACACATTAGGGTCCTGCGTGGTAGCATGATGTTGTGGCAGAGAGGCTTGTGCAGCGCAGTGTACAGCAGCACGAGCAGCAGCAGCTTGGCAGCATCAGGACTGGAGATCTGTCGCCGACACTTTGGCTCAAGTCAAAAGGATGTCACGATCCGTTCGGCTGACGCCCCATCCGCGCATGGTAGCCTGGAGCCGTGGTTAGAGAGCGTGTTGGTGAACACGATAGAGGTCGTGGCCGACACACGAGAGAGCGGGTGAACACGATAGAGGTCGTGGACACACGAGAGAGCGGGTGAACACGATAGAGGTCGTGGACACGATAGAGAGCGGGTGAACACGATAGAGGTCGTGGACACGATAGAGAGCGGGGTGAACACGACAGAGATCGTGGACACGATAGAGAGTGATGGAGGCGCTTACGCAGAGGTTGGCTCAGCTCGAAGAGCAACAGCGGCAGCAGCGCACAGTGATCGAGACGCAGCAGGCGCAGCTCACGGCGGCGCAGAATGAGCTGGCGGCGGTGCGGGCAGCAGCTCAGCAGCCAGCAGGAGAAGCACGAGCAGGCGCACCGATCTCGTTGGTGGACCTGCGAGTTGGCAACAAGCCTGAGATCTTCACAGGAGACGCTAAGGAGTGGAAGAACTGGTCGTTCAAGATGCGTCAGTACCTATCGGCGATAGACGAGACGCTGCATGCGGAGGTGCTCGACGTGGATGCGAACCCGTCGAGGGAGATCACGATGAACGACATGGCCGCCGAAGCCCAGAGGAGAGCCAGGCAGCTGGCGTTCATCCTCACCATGCACACGAAGGACGTAGCGTTGCAGATGGTCACGAAGCTGCCAGATCCCAGCAATGGCTACGAGATCTGGCGGAGGTTCTTGGAGGAGTTCGAGCCGGCCCACAAGGGTCGCTTCAGGGCGATGTTGATGCAGATCCTCCAGTACCAGTTCACAGGTGACCGCGGCCTAGCCATCGAGGAGTTCGAGAGGCTCGTCAGGCAGTACGAGGCGCAGTCTGGCGACATCCTCCAGGAGACCATCAAGGCGGCGGTGATCTCGAACAACCCTGAGGACCCTGAATGGAGGAGACACGTCGGCCTCAACGCAACGAGATTGCAGGACTACACATCGCTGAAGGACGAGTGGAAGGCGGTGCACCAAGCGGAGAGACGTTGGGGTGTCGATGGCGACTCGGCCCCCATGGAGGTGGACGCGCTCACCTCGAAGGGCAAGGGCAAGGATGGCGGCAAAGGCAAGGGTAAGGATGGCGGCAGAGGCAAAGGCAAAGGAGATGGCAAGGGTAAGGATGGCGGCAGAGGCAAAGGCAAGGGAGATGGCAAAGATAAGAACAAAGCCGAGGCCAGCAAGAAGGAGAGGAAGTGTTTCTTCTGCAGAGAGAAGGGCCACGAGCGCAAGGACTGCCCGAAGTTCACCACGTGGCTCGAGGAGAAGAAGAAGGCAGGACACGCTGGAGGCTCGGGGTCGGCCGCGGCGGTCAACACGGTGCAGCAGGACGACGGCTGGGTGTTCATGGTCGACGAGGAGTTCGAGGGCGACGAGCTGTGCGAACTCATCATGATCGACTCGGGCGCCTCGGCAAACGTATGTCCTCGAGATCATGTGTCGGAGAACGGCCTGCGAGAGGAAGCACATCCGAGGCGCATGACAACGGCGACTGGTGAGCTGATTGCGCAGCACGGGCGACGTCGGGTTTCATACGAGACGGAGTTCGGTAAGATCACGACGGACTACAGGGTGCTAGACGTGAAGAGGCCGATCTGGTCGCTGGGCGCGATGGTCGAGTCGGGGTGCGACGCCTACTTCACGAAGGGCAAGTCGTGGATCGTCAAGGACGGCAAGGAGTTGGAGCTGATCAGGAAGGGCAACTTGTTCTACGCGATCGCTCGGCCTTCGAAGATCGGAGGCTCGAACGCGCTGGAGCTCAACCCTTTGACGCAGGCGGAGATCGAGCAGAGAGCGCTGGCCAGAGAACACGCGGCGTTCGGGGCGCCTGGACCAGCAGCCGAGGCCACGCTTGCAGAAGATGGAGATCCAGCAGTTCGCATCAAAGTGCCGACAGGACCTGCCACGCCGACGGCAGAGGAACGGGCTCAACACGAGTCCGCGGGGCACGTACCCTACAGGAGCTGGTGCAGCCACTGCGTGGCGGCGAGGGCGGCGGACAAACCTCATCGACGAAGCGAGGACCCGACGGGCCTGAGCGCAGAGGAGGCAGCGATCCCACGCATCGAGTTCGACTTCGCGGAGATCGGACGAGAATCGGATGCAAGCCCTGGCATTCCGTCCCTCAACGGAGTGGACGTCGGGTCGGAGAGCTTGTCGGCGACTCTGTGCCCCAGTAAGGCCTTCAGCGAGTACCTGGTGGAGACGATCCTGGCGTTTGTGGACGCGCTGGGCCACAACGCGGTGCTGCTTCACTCGGACCAGGAGCCAGTGCTGGTGCAGTTGCTGAAGGCGGTGCAGAGCAAGAGGGTGAAGCGGACTCTGGTCAGGCATGGGCCGAGAGGCAGCCACCAGAGCCAGGGCAAGATAGAGGGCGCGAACAGGGTCATCAACGGCGTCCTGAGAGCGATCTGGATCAACATGGAGGAGCACGTGGGCGAGAAGGTGTCGACCGACAGCATCCTGATCGCATGGGGGGTCAGGCACGCGGCATGGAGCTTGACGAGGTTTCAGGTGAAGAGCGACGGCCGTACCCCCTACGTGCGGATCTTCGGCAAGGCCTACGGCGGGGAGGTGCTTCCCTTCGGCGAGCGCGTGATGTACAAGTACACGGCGGTGCCCAGCGGCAACCTGGACCAGAAGTGGGCGCACGGGGTGTGGGTCGGCAAGGCACCGCTGACGGACGAACATCTCGTTCTGACCGTGGACGGCGTGAAGAAAGCGAGATCGGTACATCGACTGCCAGTCGACGAGCGGTACGTAAAGGAGGAGCTGGCGAAGGTGAAGGGTCTGCCGTGGAACGGCACGGCATCGGATCTGAAGGCGCCGATCGTGTCGCAGCAGGACCAGGGGCCATCAGGGCACAGGAGGCTCTACCTGACGAGGGCGATCGTGCAGAAGTACGGGCCTACGCCAGGGTGCTCGGGCTGCGCGGGGCTGGGGCCACACACTGAGGCGTGTCGAGCGCGACTGGAGAAGTTGGTGGCAGACGCGGCGGCAGGGCCGAGAGGTATCGCAGTCGGCGCGCCGCTGGCGTCGAGACCAGACCCAGGACCGCCCGCAGGCGCTGCAGAACCATCGTCGGCAGCGAGCGGCGACGCTCCCGCGACACCGGCTGGGGGCGATGGCGGCGGAGGAACCGCGGCCGAGAGCATGGAGGTCGACAGAGCGGGCGCTTCGGCACAGAGGGGTCGGTCCGCGGCGGAGGCCTTTCCGCAGGCGGCCCCCGAGCGCCCGACGGCGAAGATGAGGTCGCAACCCCCTGTGGCGATCCCAGCCGTGGGAGGCGCAGGCACGGTCGTTGTCAGCGAGAGCGGGGCGAGGTCCAGCACCGACGACGTGATGATCGGGGGCCTGCACGTGATCGATGGCGTGGACGTGGTGGCGATGCTCGTCCCAGAGGAGGACGAGTGGCAGCTCGCGGCGATGGACGACAGCAACTTCGAGACCATCTCCGACGACAGCCAGAGCGACATGATCGGCGAGGTGAACTACGAGGACCCCGCGTCGGCGGAAGGGATCGTGGCGTACGACTCGAGGACTGGCGAGCAGCTAGACAGCGAAGAGGTGCGCAAAGGGAGGTCCAAGGAGCTGCGCGACCTGGCGGAGTTCGAGGTGAAGGTCGAGGTGGACGAGTCCGAGATGATCAGCAAGCCAGGGAAGAAGATCTGGTCGAAGTGGGTGGAGACGCGGAAGGACCCGAACAGCGCTGAGGTCAGGAGCAGGCTGGTCGCGACCGAGATCAACACGGGCGAGGTTAGGACGGACTGCTTCGCTGCGACGCCGCCGTTGAAGTTCGTGAGACTGATACTGGCATGGGCGGCGAGCTACAGTCCCAGAAGGAGCAGCGCGGGGGCCAAGATGATCCTGCTGCTGTTCGACATCTCTGTGGCGTTCTTCCACGGCCTGGCGCGGAAGGTCCTGTACGTGGTACCGCCGAAGGACCTGCGC